TAATATGTATGGGAAGCATGGAAGCAAAGGGACAGAGAGAAGGACAGAGTCATAGTTTCAGATAATATACTTGGAATGAAACCAAGGACGCACCAGAAAGAGATGTTGGGGCCAATAAGAACTGAGAAGTATCTCACCATTTGTAAGAGAAAAGTCTCTGGTCAGTCAGTCCTAGAAAGATAAACAGAATGCCAGACAGAAAGCAGAAGCAGAGCGCATATTTCTGACTGGACACTTTCAGAATGGACAAGTGCCAGGGAATGAAAATGAAAATTCTGGGGACACTGCAAAGCACAGGTCCATCTCCAGTACAAACTTGAGGGCGTGAGACAGACAGATAGACAGACAGACACACACACACACACACACACACACGGCGTGTTTTGCTGGCACAGTCAAAGTTCATGTACTATATGAACACTTCAGATTTATTGGTTTATATAACCTTCCTTGTATTCCTTGAAAATCAAGCAGAAAATGTGACCTCTTTATATAGCGTTATAAATTAAAATTATTTTATGAGGTCAAACCAATTTCCAATTTTTTCCTTCTCTTTCCGAGTATCTTCAATCAGTATGAATGTTTATATTCAAATACTTAACAAGCATTCCTTGTACTCTAAGAACACTCCTCTAGCCCACAAACACATTGTACCATCAGTTTCTGAACTTTGCCCTCCAATTCCAGATAGCACCAATGACTTTAAGCTCTTTATTTTTTACTGAAGTTGATAGGCTCCAACAACAGAGTCATGCTGTTGTGGGAAGTCATTTTTAAAATAACAGAGGACAAATCGATTTTTTTCCCTGAACACCCTTTCCAAATTTCCTCACTTCAGTAAATGTCAGAAACCTCAATAATTCATGAAATCACACTCTGTCTCATTTCCTATATCAGTTCATCATCACACCATTTGCTTCCATCTATTCCTTGTACCGCCAATAGCAGCTGTGTTTCTATTATCTTTTACTGGAACTCCGGTAAAGTTTCCTGAATTATCTTCTCATTGTCTTAAGGTTCCTTCTCAGCAAATAGCCATAGGGGTTTTCTTGAACTTTCAGTCATATCTGGTGTGAAATGAAGTAGAAGCCCGGGTTTTAAGAAGACACCATGCTTTTCCTGTCTGAAGCAGGGTCCTCAGGTCCCCACAGGGGCATTCTTTCCTTCACACCTCAGCTAAATGTCCACTGTCTCTGAGAGGATTTCATTAATATATAGAACATGCTGTTGAAATGTAGGGGTTCTGTGTTAATTTCAACAAAGGCATGGGCTGAAATTATTTTTGGAAACTAAGAACAATTAGCAATTAGGTAAAGATTCTACTGATTTGTTGTGTGTATCACTCATGTGCTTGAAAAGAATGCAAGGGCCATGCAAACAGAAAACTGAAAAGTTTTACGTGTAAAATACTTCATGGCAATTTATTTTCTCCATCTGTAAGGAACTACTAGGAGATTTAAATAAACAATTAGATTGTTTCTCACTCTCTAAGATATCACAGTTATCATCTCCACAGTGGCCTTAGTACCTGGAAGAGTGCCCAAAACAGCAACAAAGAATGAACAACAAATGAGGGAATAATCACAGGAGGAGGGAGAGGGTCCAGACTGAACTAAACAAGCCAGGCTCCCTAGAGACAGGGAAAAAAAGGGAGGAATGGCATGCCTGAACAGATGGGTGAAATGGCAAAAAATGAATGGTTCTGAAACACCAAGGTGGCTTTTGACTCAATAGGTTTTTGTTCAGTTGAGAACAGCTATAATAGGAGCAGCCACACACTCTCATACCTCCTCTCCACAAAAGAATCTTATGTTTTTGTTCAGTACTATCATTGGAAGTATTCATCAGTTCTTATTTCTGAAGCTTTTTTTGTTTGTTTCTTAATTTTTAGAACATCTCTGTAGTACATAATGTTTACATTCCTTGTGGGAAAGAATACCAGCAGCCATTTGCAGAATCAAAGGCAGGAGAATCCAAACTGGCTATGAGTTCACTGTAGAGCTGGAGGATCCAGTAGCAGTCAAGGTTAAAGACCTGGAAGCACATTGTAGTCACAGGTTTGAGTCTGTTAGAATACCAAAGGGTCTACACTGGAGTCTGCTCTGGAAGACTGAACAAACTGGAGACTAATATCCAAAGTTTCCTTCTTTCCCTTTTTATTCTGTCCAAGCTGCAAGCCTATTGGTGGATGCTACCAATATTGAGGTCTGCCTTTCCCGCTCAGTTTGCTGGTTCACATGCACCCATCCAAAGACATATCTAGAAATTACTAATTTACTAAGTGATCTTGCTCAAGCCAACAAATCCCAAATAAAAATCACAGCCTATGAATCACATTTATCATTTTACCACTGAAACAAGTTACTAATAAAAATAAGTGAAACTAATTGTATTTCCCGCTGTGTATTAACATATGCTTTTATCATAGGTTGCATAGCTTTCACACATACATGATACATTTAGCACCATGAAACACATATAAATGAGTAAGGATTGATCAGCGTGAAATTGTTTAGAGACTACAGAAAGAAATAATATTCACAACACATGTAATCAAAGTAGAAAATAATGCAAGTCTTCAGAAAATAAATTAGAAATCTTATTTGGGAAATGAGAAAAAAATCTTTAAAGCATCAGAAAAGTTTTGCCCCAAAAGACAGCACTTGAGCAGAGATTACTTTTGGCAAATGGCAAAGAGAACAAAGGAAACTTTCCACGCAGAGGGAAAATGTGGAGGAATGTGGGATGTGGAGAGTTTAGTTTAACTTCAGTACATGGTGACTTGGGAGAAAATGCAAAGCATGGCTCCATTACAAATATGGAAACATCAAGGATTCCTAACCAATGTGGAGAGAATGATGTACCCAATGTTTAATATCTAGGGTAATAGATCTAGGTAAATAAACAGTATTTATTCAACTCTTACTATGAGCAGACATTGAACTAAATAATTTGCATGACCTATACCATGTAATTTTCACAATAATAACATGAAATAAGTATTTCAGTATCTTACTTGCAGTAGGAAAGATTAGGGAAGTAAAATGATTTATAAAGTTTGAGACATTAGTTCCTTGCCTCCCAGACCCAGTGCTGTAGAGCACTGACTACCTCGGGAGGTTACAGTGACCACAGCGGAAGTAGGGAAAGCTGAGAAAGGAAGCAATGGCAAGTGGGATCACCACTGGAGATGATGACATAATCTTTTCGAAACCCAAGAAGGTAATGCGGGCCTGTCTAAGGCTGTGAGAAGTTAATCGGGAAAAAAATCCACTTTTTGTTGTCACTGCCTTTCCCCTCAGAAAGCAACAAGTATACAGAGACCCAGTCCCTCAGTCTAAAATCCTCTATGTATGTCAATCACAGCATGATCAAGATTTCTTTTGTCACTCTTATCAAGAGTTGAAATTACACACTGATATTGCTGTTTTCCTTCTCTAGGCAGCCGAGTCCACTGTTACACGAGCTATCTTTATTGAACTCAACACTAACCATTTACAATATTAAGAATGAATGCTGTATTAATAAACGTAGAATAAAGAGTGAGTCAAAGAACTCAAGGCAAACTGAATAAGCAGAGTGTAACTGAAGGAAGAGAATATAGAAATATATATTTTAAGATACGGATGCTCAGAGCTATACATTGAATAAAGGAGGGCAGTAAAGGCAACTCACCAAGAAAAATTAACACACGATCTTATTTTAAGGATGTGTTTACGAGTAAACTCAATTTCATATGCTCTGTTTTTGATCCCAGTCTTTTAAAATATTTAAATGATATTTTAAAGCCTTTTAAAATCTTTCATAGAAGTGAGACAAATCAATGAATGTATATTTCAATGTCTATTGAAGTGATAATATTTAAGCCTTGCTTACACTTTATAATTACAGCCTTGGATAACCACAGATTATATCATTTATCAAGCTTTTAGTTATATATTCATTTCTTTGTTTCTTTCAAAGTACATTAATTTTCAGGTCTAAAACAATAGCTAGCTTCACAATTTCTTAAAGCAAATGCTTGGCCACCCTGCCTAAGAAAAAAGAAATTGTTTAACCCTCTGAATCTTTATTCACCTCAACAGATGGATAGCGGAAACCAAAAATCAGTCTTACTACTGTCTCTAGTTTGAAATTTGCTTCTCATTTTTATTTGGGCAAAGTGAATCTGCTTTAGAAATCTATTTTAAAATGTGAAAAGCAGCCTGGATGAATAAGCAGACCAATATGCAAACAAAAACCCACAGAAATGAGAGTTATGAATTATGCTACATATGTTGACACAAGAATAATAGTTACTGAAAGGATTGGCAGAAATTTTACATGACTAATGCTGACTAATTATTATCAATGTGCTCTTGTCCTATCTACAAACAAATTATCATAAGATAAATCCATAGTTAAAACTTAGGAAAATATTTTTTTATCTTTAGAGAATATTTCTTTGTAGAACTAGTAACATAAAGTGTACTTATTCTTATATACTCTTTTTGTCCTTACCTCCAAATTTTCAAGTAATGCCTTATAAAATGTTTACTCTTTAGTTTGACAAGTAGAAACTCAAGCTTTTGAAGTTAAATTGTAGTTCAAATAAAATTTCCTTCTATTTCTTACCAACACATAGAGAATTTGTCTACATCCAACAATTCTGAAAACTTTTCCCCAAGGAAAGGAAATACAATAATCTAAAATGCAAGAAATGACTTACATAGACATGAAAAATGATTTCAGTAGTGTGCGGTTGGAGAATTGCCCCTCAGCAATGCATAATGTGCTTAGGACTTAATTGTTTTATAATTTGGTAACCTTCAGTAAAAATAATAACTGTAGTCATTATGATACCTGGTGTATGACTGTTACGTAACAGTGCCCATCACCCACCCCAAAAGCAACAAAGCCCACATTTTTCTATCTCATTCCTGTACACACATTTGCAAAAGAGGCATCCCAAGTCTTCATTTTTATTTTCTAAAATCATGTTAATTTCTTATTTATTTCAGGCATTACTAGAGACTCAAAATTTACTGCGCACTCAGGTTGCAAATTTTACCTTCAACCTTGGATTTTCAGGGAAGTTTTACCACACAGGTAAGAAGGAGTTTTGTGTTCTCAGGCAGCTACATATAAATAGGAGATAAGATTCTAAATGTTCCATAAGTAGGAGAAATAGAACGTGCAGATTGATTATGGGAAAACATGGGTGCATTATGTGAGTGGCCAAATCCAAAATCAGTGAACTCTTACTTTGGCAGATACTGTTACAATCAAGGGCAAAAGAGAAAGACAATTGTCTTTTCAGCTCAGTAAAAGAAACAGCGATCATTGTTCTAAGTTTGATTATGGACCTTTTTCATCAGCAGAATCTAAGAGAAAGCATAGCGTAGTGAAGATTATAATGATTGTGATAATAATACTAATATCAGTACTATTAATAAAAATGTTTTAAAATTGTCGAATAGTCAAGGTAGTAGATTCTTTTGTACATATAATTTTTTTCTTGTGGAAAAAGTCTTATGTTGGGAAAAGTATTAATTGTTTCAAAGTAACAATAGAACCTAGGAGTCTTATTATTAGTTTATCTTCTCTTCTATGATATTTCTTTTAAAAAAATTATCAATAATTTGGCCTAATAACCATTGACAGGTTCAGTCTGTCTTGTATTTCTTTCCATATCTATCTTTTATATTTCTATTCAGTCTCAGCTTTTCAACAAATTTTCAAAATGGAGCTGTTATTCACGTTTTACTCTATGTTCTGCTATGTCTCACCTCTACACCTTCTCCCCCAAATTTTGACTTCTATTTTCGAAGATTAGCACTACATAGCCATAGTATGGAGAGATCTGTGTTCATAAATGCCTTAAAATTATGGAAGAAATAGTACTAAACTATGTGCTGGGCCCTGTACTAAGGGAACATCCATAGCCTGCACCTACTTATGCATTTACGCTGTGAGGTAAATGCTTTGTTTAGGATACCGCACTGTTGTTTGTTCACAGTATGTTAATGGAAACAGTTCATAGTCTTCTTTCTCCATATATGCAGCTTACTGACTCATTTCAAATATCTCATGCAAAGGCAGTATTTAATTATCATAAATGTAGCTTGTTTACCCAAAGTGGCAGTTCAATATAAAAGCTCAGCATGGTTTATTAAAATATTGAAAGAGTAATGTCTTACTGGAATTTCCTGATGCTTTTTTCTCCAGCTTTGAAAAGTGTATATCTGTCTAAAGTAACAGAAGGAAAATTAGTTAATAAATCAAGTGATTACATATTTTAAAAAGACATTTTGCAGGAAGAGATTTGGGTCATCATGCCTGAACAGGCAAAGCAATTCCAGCTTATAATTTCAATAATAGACATGGTTTTGTAAATCTTCTTCAAAAGCCCCTGTAAGAAATAAGTTCAGGCCTAAGAAGCTCTGACTATGAAGTTATAAACCAAATAACTGTAAAGGCTGTGTCTACTCATGCAAGGGAAAAATATGAGATGATTTGGAATTCACTCACAAACAATACTATTTTGTCTGAAATAGCTAAATAGTGTAAGCAAAGACATTCTCTCGGCTGAAATATGTCTAGATAACCACCACAGCTTTATTTCTCATATTCAGACCAGTTAGACCTGCCAGACATTTGCAGAGTTAATGCTGATACATGTTAAAAGGTTTCCCATATTCCTTCTAACCCTGAACATGTACACAGTGCACATCCACCAGGAAATAAGCAGCAAACCAGTCAGTATCACTGGGACAGCTGTTGAAGGGAGATACAGAAGAAGACATTTTAATTACACTTTTTTAGCAAATATCATTGCCTCTGTGTTGGAACTACCCTAGCAAAAGTGATAGAAGAAGCAACCTATGCAGTTAGAAGGAAAACAAGTGCACTGGTTACAGTGTACTTCAAAGAATAACAAGTATACGTAAACTTGTAAATCCTGAAAGTTTAATTTCCTTCATATAAATACATAACTTTTATTTCACTGTTATGCTATTTTATCTGAAGGCACATTGCAAAGCATATATAACAGTTTTCAAGAGTGCCATCATATCATGTTGAGTGCTTGTTAATGCAGTTGGAGAAACCAAGCTCTTTTGCAGGAATGAATTACACATCAGCGATACCCATATCAGAAAAGCACCCAACAGCCCTATCGAGTCACGCTCTTATATGAAGATTTAATACTGTAGAAAAAAGATTGCAAATAAAGGCAGGGCTCTCCTCATGTGTACTTGGCTGTGATATGTCACCATGAGGAGATGTCCTCGCTACAATAACTGCCTCCGTTCTCTCCCAGGATGATCTGATTTCCCAATGCATAAGGATTCTGATTGATGAGTTTCATTGTTTCGAAGACATTTAATCACACATGTCCAGTGTAATAATGATTGATTCCACCTCTCTGAGCCTGCTCAGTTATTTGTATTTATGTGTTCTTCCCTGCTCAGCCTCTCTGTCCTTCACATGCTAAAAACAATCTTACCCCAAAGGGGCCTATTACTAAGCCTTCCCTAAAAGCCATTCCATCATGGGTGCTAAACTGAAAGAAGGACATAATACTGATTAAAAAGAAAATTAAAACCATGGAGTTTAGAGTGAAAGATTTTAGGCTGGAAATATTTAAACATGTTCAAATTGCATAGTGAAATCTCTTGGAAAATGAAGACATAATAACATTAAACTAGGTCCTAGGCAGTGAGAAGCTACAAATTTTATTTTACATGGGACACAATATCTGATGCTAAGCACTGCTTTTAGAAATTCAAAAAAAATGAATGCGACCCAATCAGTAATTAATGAATGAATAAGGTTTGCAAATTGGCCTAACAACAGTCTTTTCAAGGAAAGTACATGTTACCAAAAAATAGCGGTTTTACATATAATAATTAACTTTGAGACATGAAACACAAAAATATAACATACTTTCTCCTTTTTTTATTTATATCACCTTCTCTGTAGAAAATATGGATTAAAAGACTAGATATTGGAAACAAGCTGCTATGTTCAAATCCAGACTTTCTATCAAATAAATAAATAAATTTATAAATTTATTTTTAAAAAAGGGCTAAGGATGTAGTTCAGTGATAGAGTTCTTGTTTAATTTGCTTGAGAAATTGGGTTTGATCCCCAGTATCCCAAAAACAGACCCTTTAAATTTTAAGAGCTCTTTGAACACAATATACTTAACCTTTCTGCACCTCAGTTTCCACATCTACAAGTTGAGGATAATATAGTAATAACCTCTCTCACTTGGAACAATGCCAAGTATTGATGAGTGTTATGTTTATTATTAATAATTAAAAACACATATATGAATAAAATTTTATCAAAATGTAAATAATAGTTTATATGACTTCATTTTCTAATTTTGAAACTAGATATCTTTCAATGAATACTCATCATACAATTTCTATTGCTTAGTGTTATGGTTAAAATGAGTTTATTTTAAAGCAATTTGTATGGGGCCACACTAGATTCAGTGTGCAAGGAAAATTAGAAATATTCCCACTTAGGAATTACAATATTTCACCTATAATGAACAAATATAAGGTACCTATTTGTGTAAAAGAAATAATCCCCATAACTTAGTTTAATATTATAAATGGACCTTTATGGATGTTAACCTTTAGCTCAGATCTTGCTAAATATTTTTTGTATTTTGTGCTGGGGATGTAGGTCACCGGTACAGCATATTTTGGTATTCACTTGGCTCTGGATGCAATACACACAACACGCACACCTTATTTTGGCAGACTTAAAAACATTTTAGAAACATTATTATCTCCCAACACTTAGCCTCCAAAAATTATGACAAAGGAATTAACTCCTCATATACTTTGCTTCTGAATCAAACCATATTTTATAAGTGTGGGCCAGGTTAGAAGGAAAAGGCTCATAAACAAACAAAACAACAAAAAATGAAAAGCTACCACTCACACAAAAGAGTGCTCAGTGGGACTGCCTAGAGGCCTGAAGCCCGGACATCTCAACACCCTTACATCTCAGGAAGCAGCAGTGTAAGAGGAAATATTTGTATGACACTCTGCATAAAGCAGTTTTACCTTTCAAATTCAAACTACAGTAAATAACATTCAAAAAACAACACCACAGAAAGAAGTAAAAGGCTCAACTGGAGCACAGAACTTTAAATGTTAACTTGTGTTAATATGATCAGGTATGAACTACAAGTTACATTTTTACACATAAAAACAAGTCCCCAACTTAGTGTTCTGTTCCAAGCGAACGTTAGTAAGTCAGATTCATTTATAAGTCCAACAAAGTGACTCTCACACACCTTTGACACTAATGTACAATGTAAAGCATAAAGATACCAAACACACACACACGAATACTGTAAACTATTTTTACTTTTAAGCATACAGCACACAACTGTGAGAGGGTCTGGTGGCAGACACATAAACCACCTCCGTGATTTGTTCCCATCTGTAAATGTTCCTGATGCAAGATCCACACGTATCTGTGAAAGTGTGCAACTCAAATGTTCGTTAAGCCAGCACTTGCTGTAATTTAAATTTCCATTAATTACAGTAAAATATGTAATTAGAGTTAGCCAAAAATATAACAGATTCATTTGAAAACTATTAAAATTCTGCAGTGTTCCCTTGGCATGACTTCGTGTCATATTTTTCATTAAGATATTTCCAGTGTCAAGGATCTGCCTCATGTGGCTTTGAACTATACGACCAGCATAAAATAGGAGAAAGGCTGACAGGAATTAACCCATGTAAAAAAGTAATAATAAAAAACACGCTGTGAATGTCACTCTCAGCTGTGTAGAGAGTGTTTGCAAACTAACATCATCTCTGATATAAAAAATTACTCAGATTTTATGATCAGTCATGCATCTTTTTGTATCAATAGTCTGCAAAATTTTCTTTAAATTGAGTAACTGACCTTCTTTCTGGTCAAGTGTGTATTATGTGCTTCCTGACACTTGCAGTAATGAGGGTGGTGTTACATGTGAATTGCAACATTTCTCAAACATTCTGCATCCAGAGCACAACGCCCTAATTCCAGGGATGAGGGTAGAGGGTGAACTATCAATTCCTTCATCATATGTGACATAAAGTAACTCTAATCTATGACTTGATCTTCTAAATTATGGCCGTGAAAAACTTCTGTAATATAAACACTTCACCTGAGGAGATGAAAAACTCTCCTACACTTGGATTTCAATATTTGATATTCATAACATATTCAAAAAAGTCAAGGAACTATGAATCAGTAATACTAATAGTTTAAGATAACTTTAATAAAAATTAAGAATGTTGTCTCTTCATTTTATTCATAAAACTGTACTACTTTCAAAACTTCTATTTCTTACACTGTGTAGTAGTATTCATTGATGCCAAACCCTTATTTAATTCTGGTAGGCCTTATAACTTCTGAGTAGTGTGAATTAAAAGCTCTACACCAGGAATAATGAATATATGTACAAGACACAAATGCCAGTGTCTACTACAGTAGCTCTAGGAAGCTGCTTAAGTCCATTGACTATGTAAACATAGGCTAGATAAGATTATTCATTTATTCACTGCCCTGGGAAAGTTGCATATTTTTGTGGAAATTAATAAGATTCAGTGCCCAACTTCAAGAAAATTATAGTCTATAATTTACAGATTTTTAGAATGTAGAAAAACATAAATTAAAAACTCAGCATGCATGAACCATTTCAACATATTCTTAAAATCATAATATTTATAAATCTTTTGATCTGCAAATCACAAAATAATATTACCTGCTTTGATCAGTTCATCTCATTGCCTTTTTTACTAAGATCTGATAAGTATTTATATCTCCATTCTTAGCCAGGACCCTGAGATTCAGAGAAATTAACATTTTCACAATCACATTAATTCAGTGACATAAGTAGGGACTCCATTGCAAGTACTGACATCAAATATGTATTTTACCTATTTTGCCACACTACTTCCATCAACAAGGAAATCTATTTTATGGAAGATGTAAATTAAACAGTCTCAAAAACCATTAATATGTCTTTACTATTTATTTCCTTAATTTTAGTAAAAAATATAAAATCAAGTACCCAGTTGTAAAATATAGTTGTGAAAAAAACAAACTAAATACAAAAAACAAACCCCATAACC